ATATTTATCTTGATCCATGGAACCGTAGTCTTTCTTCTTCTTCTTTCAAGATCATCCATGCAGTTTCTGCATTCTCAAGTTATGGTTTTGAAATAATAATTGTAGTTTTTGTTGCAGAGCTCTTGAATCGTATCCCTTGCATGGTAAGTGGACAAACCAATGAAACAGAAGAATAAACAATTCAACATTGGTATGCAAACAAGATAAAATAATTTGAACTCCCAAACTACTCCTAGTAAAGAAAAGCACAATCTCTCTACAGATAGATGGTTCATCTTTTCAAAAAATTCTTTTTGCTTTAATGTTTATGAATGATTTGATAGGGCTAAAAATTTTTTTTTTGTTTGTTTAATATTCAAACAAATTCAAACTCTTTTTGTTTATTATATTAACATAATCTGAATATTAAATATTCGGCTTGACTCACTCATAAAATGCTCCATGTACTTGTCTTGAAAAACAAAAAAGATGATATTGCCATTTAGGTGAATATTTGCCAAATCAAAATTTTTCTATGCTGGCCGTAAGTGAAAGATGAGAAACTAAGCAAAACCTTGATTCAACTTCCGTTTCAATTTACTGTTATTCCAAGCTTAGGAGGGGTTTCAATGTATTTTTATCCTGAGGGCACTGGATAATGCTAAGAATGGGTTGGATAACACCATATGATCAAACTACGTAGAGCTCGTTGAGTAAAGGAGGGATAGGTTGGATGGTATACATAAGTAAGGAACTTGGCATTTTGATTTCTGAGATACCTTATATTTAGTGCTAATCAATTTGACACCACTTATTCAAGATGATGGCATCGGATAACTTTGCCTTTTCAAGAAGTTCTCACTTATTAAAACTAATAAAAAGAATCAAGGGTATGGACTTGTTCAATACATTACAGCAAATGTTTCAAGTTAGCTAAATATTTATCTTTGTCTTAACCTCTGTCTAACATAATTTTTTTTGCTACTTAGCCCTATATTAATTGGCCCAAAACTCAACTAAAGAACCTTACAGACGCATATATAATGTTGGCTTTCCCACCTTATAGAAAAATTTTCCGCACGCATGTTTAATGTTGGCTTTCCCCTAAATTAAAGACAGAACCATAGGACAAACAAATTCAATCCCTAATCTAACAATTATTTCCATGCTCTATAGTCATGGGTTTGAATATCACGAGGTATTGAACTATTAAACCCTCAAACGGATTTAAGGACCAACTTATTACTAATTAACAATGGCTTCATGTTTCTCACAATGATAGTATAACGAATTCTTTAGGGCAAATTCCACTTTACCCCCTATGATTTAGCGTTTTAAACATAACTCCCTTATGATTTCAAAAGCTATACATAACTCCCTTGTGGTTTAGATTAAAGTGTCAAAGTGACGGGAATGATCATTCATAACGGCGTCATGTAAAATGTAAAAATTACCCTTATGTAAAGTTGAAATTTATGTATTAACTAAGGGGGATTATGTGTATATTTTGAAAATCATAAGGGGGTTATATGATTGTAGACAAAGAAAATTTATTTAATTTATTTAGTCAAGATTTATTTAAATTAAATTGATTTTAAGTTAAATTGTAGAAGTTCATTATGTTTTGAACTTGTAAATTGGGCCAATATTATGTGGGCTATTAAATCAAATTAAATTTATAATGCCCATTTAAGTGGAAGTGAATTAATTGATTTATTAATTCACAATGGACTATTTGGGTTGGCCCATTATTTAAGCCCAAGTTAAATGGATTTCTTGAGTAACAAGTAATCCAAAATACAGGAAGATTCTGAGGGTTTTCTTGAAGATTTAGCCTACATATTTTGGCTATAAATAAAGGTCTTCCCTCAAGGCAAAGACACGAGAAAAATCCCTAACTTCCGGAGAAACTCTGTCAAATTTCCTCAAGAGCTTTCTTCCTCAAATCCAAGTCCAAATCAAGTCAAACAAATCCTGCTGCTATCGGTGTTGAAGACTTGAAGTTCCAAGTGTTTGGCACCATCATCAAATCAATCATTTTCTACGCCAAAATTGTAGAAAACACCCTTTCGATTGGAGAACAAGTCTTTTCGACCCTTCAATTGAAGCTATTCGAAGAAAAGAATCAGGGGATTAATTTCTTTGGTTCAAGAACTTTCAGAGATTGTAATCCGCTTATTATTTAATTTAATAAATTTGATATTTGTGCAAGTTTTCTTGTCTTTTATTTTAGGCAACAAAATTTGTGCTTACAATGATAAAGTATTAAACCATAAAGGGGTTATATGGTAAAATATAAAAATCATACGGGGTTAATGTGTCATGTATTTATAAGGGTAATTTCGACATTTCCAGAAGTTCCGTTGCGAGTGACTATTTCCGTTACTTTAATACTTTAATCTAAACCATGAGGGGGTTATGTATAGTTTTTGAAACTATAGGGGGTGATGTAAAAAAAAGAGTAAACCACAGGGGGTAAAATGTAATTTATCCAATTCTTTATATTAGCAGATCCTTGATGCATGAAAATTTAATATGTGGAAACAAATTATATTATCACCCATGCTATACACTTGTGTAAAGACAGCACCACACCCACAACGGATCTTCTGTCCATACCCTATGCCACTCCCTGTCTCAATTTTTATTACATTGTTATTTCTCCTACATAAACATCATATTTTAGTTCTTTTTTGTTTCCTAAAGATCCAATAACTATTAATTGAGTAATACACAAAATTTGACTTGAGCATTTGCATCAATCTTTCATTTCTTAATGTATGACATTTGCAGCAATGTATGACATTTAACTGTATGTTATGCTAATATTGTAAGAAAGATTAATCCAAAAAAAATATGGAAGAATACATACTAAGTTACCAAAATAGTCCTATGGTGATTCTTGATTCCCATAATAAAGTAAAGGTTTTCTGCATTTAATTCAACATAACCATCCTGCTCCTTTTCTACCATTTCTTCTTGACTTTCAATTTCACGAAATGCCTTGCCAAAACCTGTTTAATTAGCTTCGAAATGTTACACGTGATGAAATTCAGAATTGTCTAATATAAGAGTCAGATAGATACTAAGAGAGTCTAAATCACCTGAATTTCTTGATTTCTTCATCTTCCTTGATTTATTAGAATGCAAATCAACCCGAAGGTTACAATAATTTCTTGGTCTAGAAGGATGAACTTTTGACGTGCTAAAATCATCAAACTCATTTTCATCACTATCACCAAGGCTATCATCATCAAAGCTATCACTAGAACTATTATAGGTGTAGCTACTGGATGGTTTGTAAACCTTAAGCTTTTTTTTGGCAACAATCAGCACCATATGGTTTAACTTGGAAGGTAGTTGTATCAATAAAATTAAATACTAGGTAATTTCCAAGCTTTAACTCATGATCTTGAATAAATTTTGGCCACGAACGCCTGCAAATATAGTAGTATTGACCCTTCTTTCGAATTCTCACTGATCATGATTTTTATAGTGATTTTTTTCCTCAGATATGATTTTACATTTTGGTGAAAACTTTTTCTTGAAGTCCCTCACAAAAGCTGCGGGAATTAGCTACATAGTATATAAAGAAATGAAATGTAAATTTGTTCATTAACGGAACATTAATCATGAGTGACCTTTCTTTGTCTCTTCGGTATTTAATTAAGTTACTACATACATTGATTTGAGGATAACCAATGAATCGCCAATTAATTCTTGTTCACCTCTCCTCTAATTATTCTCACTACTTTTTTGTTCCCGTTCAAGATCCATCCATTGGAAACATGCATCCATTGGACTATGAATATTATTCGAACTTGCAGATTTGAAACTTGTGAACTTTTCAATTTTTGTTGATTTTTCAGCCTGAAATAAAATTCACTGAATTTTCTATATTTATCCGTTCTTATTAGTGCAATTTTTAAAATCAATGTAATGATTATAGGGATAATTTTACAATCCTCCCCTGAGGTCTTTGATGATTGCAAGAAGTACCCTCTAGGTTTAAGAAATTGCATAAACCTCCCTTAAAAAATAGTTCAGGTCTCACTTATGTAACCAAAATATCTCCGTTGATAATCCTATATTGCCCTTATGCAATTTTTCTCCAAAGAAATAAAATTCCTTTGTAATTTAAACTTAATATATTGCAACATACTTTAACAAAACCAAGCATCAAATTCGTTTCTCTTCCTTCAAATGAAAAAAAATTCACATGGACAAATGAAAAAAAAAATTAGATACCAATTGAGTAACCTATTTTTGTAGGAATCTAGAATTTTTTTCAAATTATTACAATATAAAGTAAAATTGAACTGAGATACTTTGGGTGGTTAAGACAAGAAAGAACCTATTAATCTTGCTCTTCTTTTGAAGGAAGAGATTATTTGTTAACTTATAGTTTTAAATGTCCATTACTACACTTCATGGAGAAGTTAAATTAAGTAGATATTGAAGGATATTTTTGTTTGTGAAATTATCCCATGATTAAATCATGTCTGGAAAGAAAAAAAAAAAAAGGATCCATCCATCAAGAACTACTTGATAATTTAGATGTAGAACTTACGAAAGTTAAATACAATTGTGTATTTAATTCAAATATGACCCCTGTGATTCATGAATCAAATTCTGTTGGTTTACCACTAGTTCATAAGCTTTAATAATTAGTATACATGGTAATGAATACATAAATATTAGAGACCATACAGCCAAAAAAAATACATGAATTATGGGCAATATTGATAATTGGGCCAATACTTTAATAAAGGAACTGAAATTGGGAAACATGAGGAAAAAAAAAAGCGGATTTGTATAGAAAAGATACAACATATTTTCCTTTTGTTCATATGAAATTATTAGTGAATGTTGATCATCCTTGTGGACTAAATATAAAGAGTAAATTCTGTAGGGTACCTTGTTTAACCACAAACTACATGCCATTGCAAAAGAAAGATTTTCAATTAATCAAAATTCACCTAAAATAGAGAGAAGAATAAGAAAAGGGAAAAAATTATAAAAACGCTTCAAACAGGAAGATATTTTCGTTTCAATTCAGCCAACAGTAGTAGTACTTCAATTCAAAGGAGTCTATCCCAAATCATCTTCCTTTGGGAGATAAGTAAAAAGTTACTTCTCTTTTCATTTTCTTTGTTATTCTCTTCTTTTTTTTTTCTGCTGTTACAAAAGTCCAATTAAAGCAAAATACCGTGCAATGATGCAAAGTCCAATCCAAAATCTCATAGTACAGTAGATTAGCACATAGAAACATCCTTTGTATTAAGGAGCACCTTTCAACAGCTCATGCCCATTCTTCCTTGCAGATCCTGAAATGTAAGACCATTCAAGTCAATTTGTATGTACTACAAATTGAATGTTGAAATTACTTATATAATTTTGCGCAAACATTCATCTAATAACTTGTATTTTTCTAACAAAACTTAATTTCAAGAAACACAAATTTGAAATGAAAAAAAAAAACTTAACTTGTTTGAAGTCCTCTTGATTTGAATGTGGAATAAATCTCCAAAACGCTTAAGTAAGGTGAACTGGCAAATTTCTCCTATCTCCAATTTGTATGCTTTGCGAAATTCAGTCCATCCTTTTCCAATTTCACTCCTCTCAGCGATCTTTACCGGCCACTCCCTCTGGTCTTCACCGTGAAGGACCGCCTCTTTCTCCTTCTCTAGTTTTGTTGCCCTCGAAAATGCTCTTGGAATATTCTGAAAATAAGATACACCAAGCATAAATTTGATTTCACCAGCTTTCTTGAACTTTGTAGGTATTTATTTTCCTTGCTAAGAAATCCTTCGAACTGTTGAGAAGCCAAGAATAAACATAAAAAGAAATAAAGCAAACGCAATTTATACATTATGGGGGAAAATTTGTTGTTTACTCACCAATCTGCGCATATGATGCCGCTTCAGTCTCAAAATAAAATAGGGATTCTCCGCATTTAAATGAAAATAACCATCCCTCTCGTTTGTTTCTACATCTTCTCCTTCTTCACTTTCAATTTCAAGAACTTGCTTCCCAACACCTTTCCAATTATTTGCATAAGAAAAATGAGACGTGATTAAAATTATCTAACATAATCTACCTTACACACAGATCAAGAGAGATTATATTTAATCCATCTCACCTGACTTTCTTGTTTTCCTCAACTTCTTGAATTTATTAGAACGAAAATTATCACGATCAATCTGATACTTAGTGTAAACCTTTTTTTTAGCAGGATGAACTTTTGATGGCCTTATTCCATCATCTCTGTAAAATTCAGTTTCATCACTATCATCAAAGCTTTCATCAGAGCCATCATCAGATTCATCATCACTGGAGCTACAGGATGAGTTGTATACATTAAATTTTTTTGGGCAACAATCGGCACCATATGGCTTTACTCTAAATGTTGTTTTGCCTATCAGATGAAATAACAGGTAATCTCCAAGCTTCAAATGATGATCTTTAACAAATTTTGGCCACGAATGTCTGCAAATATAATAGTAGCGACCTTTCTTTCGAATTCTTACTGGCCATGAATTTCGAACTGAGTTCTTTGCCTCGGATTCGATTGTGCATCTTGAGGGAAGCTTTTCCTTGAAATTCCTCACAAAAGAGCAGGGAATCCGCTACAAAAATGTCAAGGAAAAAAACAATAAATATAAAAATTAATCTTGACAATAACTGAAGAAGATTAATGGAAAATGCATACAGTAGCAATTGATATGGGACTTACAATTTCTCTCGTGAAATCATCTTCCATCAACAGCTTAATAAAGGACGGATTAAAGTTGTAATTTTGTTCCATTTTGGAACTTGGCTTGCAGAGGAAAACAAGAACGATGAGCTCTTCGGGGTTGAGGAAAGAAGGAAAGAGAAGTAAATATAGACTTTAAGGTTGGTGCCAGTTCAAATTACACGGCTTTTTGTTTGCCTTTTGTTCGTATTTTGTACATACATTAAATTCTGTAGACTTTTAGACTACCAGACACTCTTTTTATAGTCATCATGTTAGTCACGATTCATGAGTGTCACCATTATTACTTCCATATTAAATTAACTCCATTTAGTACATTGAATAGAGAGAAATAAACGTACAACCATGCAGTGAATTGCATCTTTTGTTCTTCATTAGTTCTAATTAATCACCTTTCTTCATGGCAACCCTTGATTAACAAGGGATTTGAGCTCCCATCAATCGAGATAACTAGTTAATACTATAGGTTCGAAATTTTCAAATGTGAACATAATTACATGGAAGTCTAAAGACCGAATTAGATTAATTAAATGTTGTTCTTGAATAGTGAATTTAAGATATGTGAGTCAGACTAAAGTAGTATCTTATCCCTGTCATGATTACATGAGTTGGGAGCAAGACCTATGGTTGGTCCAATAAGTTGGGGCTAAAAATGTGCATACAAGAAACAGCATACAATTATATCTGTCTTTTGTTTTTGTTCATATACATCGTTAGTGAATGCGGACATTTCTCGTGGTAGGTGTATACAAACATGATTATCTATTGTAACCAATTGTGCTAATCCAAACAAAATAGATGAAAATCACTTTCTTCTATTTGCCTTTCTTTTCTTTTCCATTGGTATCATTTCCTTGCCTTTCCCTTCTTTTACTTCAATCCAAACGATGCCCAAGTCTAGTTTCTGAATCTCTGAGAATCGAGATCATAGAAGTTTTATATCTCAAGATATGGCAATGTTAGTTAGGATTGCCTAACCTGGAATTTAACAATGGAGTTTTGTGTAACACCGTAATCTTTTAGTACATTTTATATCCTTTAGGATAGCAGTCTGAAAACATTTCCTTCACAAGAGCTTTGGACCATTTAATGACGTTCCAACACCACCAATTCCACAATTGATTGAATCGTTCCATATCATAGCTGAAATAGAACATTTATAACTAGTCCTAGAAAACTCAGAATCAAGTGCCATTTCTTATGCACAAAACTGTAGTCATAGAGCCTTAAATCTAGATAAACATTTTAGTCTAGTTCTTATGTACTGAACCCAACAAACCTTTAGAGTTGGCAAGAAATCAAACCTAGAAAGAAGCGTTGAAGGAGATGTTAGTTTGTTGTCAATTTGGAGTAGATTATAATCTTAGGCATTAGATGTAATATAACTGTTAGAACTGACTATAATTCAATATTTTGCCAATACATACTAGCCTGAAACCTAAGTGGGAGATCTAAAAATGAAAATAGTGTAGTGAAAAAAGATAATAGTTTAGTGCCCATCTAGATATATGCCCCTTTTTCTGTTTTATTCCATTTATTTGTTAACCTTAGGTTGTGGCTGGGGAGAGGAGGTGAGTAGAAAACACAACTAATTCCAGCAGCTGGACCTATAAAATGTTAAATGGCTTTACGGATGAATTATGTTCAATTGCCAACTCCAACTTCGTAATTCGGTGTGGAAAGAGTCGCAACAACGGCTCAAGCTTCCACTTTGACCAACGCACTTAACCCAACATTATGTTTAAAGAACCCAATTAATGAAGTTCTGAAATAAATTTTAAACATCTTAACCAAAATTCTCCAAAATAATATATGCACACAATCCTCCAATGTAGATAATTGGGAAATTTAAAGTTTAAAATATTGGGATCGTTATATTTGTCACAGTAAATTAACCTGTTTCATTTGTTTCCTTTGACTTTTTTGTTTGTGTTTTTTTTTTCTTTTCATATTTCTAATTTTGATTTACTGCCTCTCCCTTTTACACTTTACGTTTTATTCTGATGGCTTTTCTTTGACTTTTTATGCAATGTAAGTAATTTTATTTGATTTGGTGGTGCACTAGAATGGCCAGAATGAAATGTCTTATTACCCAAAGAATGATGTCAAAAAATTTTTAATCTTCCACTTTGTGGCATGCATGTAAGAATAAAATGTTTCCATTTTTATTGTTTAGGATAATCAATTTTTAGATGTCAAAATGAAATAATTCTATGCAAATTTGGTTTAATTAATCTAAAACGTAGCTTAGGACTTGCAGGATTGTTTTCAAGTGATTCTAATTTTGTGAAAGCTGATTTTGTGAAATTGATTTTTAAAAGATTTTGTAGAGTAACTCTTGTGTTCTAGTTTATAGTTAATAAAGCTCCTTTGGTAATACTTAAGTGTTCTTCAAAATGTTGAAAAGCTAATCTCAACAAAAAGAAACCAAATTGCCATTATGTGAGACATAAATAACTTTTGTACAACTGACATGGTGTGTTAACGTAATTAATTATTTTTCTTATGAAGATTAAATGTTGAATAAGAAAAAGAAGAAGGGAAAAACGGATGAATCTAAAAGTGGAATAACGAGTAAGAAGAAATGGAGAGAGATGTGTGGCAAAAATATTTACTTAATCTTTATGTAGTTTAGGAATTATGTTAAAGTTTGAAGGATTTTTTTTTTTTGCATATAAAAAAAATTAGGCCATAATCTGAATCTTAAAGCAATTAAGAATTAAGACATACTTTTAACTTTTGGGGCCCAAAATATCTAAAATCAAGTTTCAAAATCAGTTTTCATAAATCCAAAATTAAAATCAGATTTAAAAGATCAGTTGAGAACATGCCCTTCATGTTTTTTATGTTGCTTTATTTATTTGTGCTATGCTATTTTTGTTAAATTGCAAATTTATTTGGTTAGATAATATAATCATGTACGAAAATCCATGTTAAGTTGAATAATGAGTTAATTAATGAGTTAGTTCAACTAGTGGTCACATTTTTCTCAGTGTGAAACTTAAGGATAGCCACTCACTTCCCAAATCAATAAATGATCCAAAGTTGTTCAAAAAGCACAATACACAAGTAATTTTTTAAAAAAACTAATACTCCCTCCGTCCCACTTTAATAGTCTTGTTTTCCTTTTTCATCTGTCCCAAATAGTCAATTTTTCAATTGAAGAATGTAGTTGTCTTTTAATTTCTCTAAAATACCTTTGTTTAATGTAAGTTGTTATTACTATAAACTATATAGATTGTTAGTATTGAATATAACCTACCTCATTTAATGCATTTAGATTTTCTAAAACATATTGATATATGAAAAGCCAACTTTATTTCATGTAAGGGTATTTTAGGAAAATAGCAATCTAAATTTGTTTTTCCAACAAAGTTAACTAATTTTTCTTAAATTGTGTGAAAAAAAAAACTAGGACTATCAAAATGGAACAGAGGGAGTACACAAGTAATCCGACCAAATTATAGACGAAAATCAACAATTACTTTTGATTTTACATGTTGAATGTTTCTAAAGAACACTAACAAATTTGAATTATCGGCAACAATTTTATAAATACTAAAAACAAATTCGCACTATATTTTAGTAGTTTGGAATCACAATGACAATCAAATAAATAGCAACTTAAAAGATCACCATTCACTCCTTCAACTTGTTAATTTCAAATTTGAATTGAAACTTATATATCACTTGACAAAAACTCAACCTGATAAGTGACTAATTTACGTAATAATTGAATGACATTTTATATTATTTTTAGTCACTTTAGTTATATTATTGGAATAAAATGAATTATTTTGGCTATAATTGGTGAAAAATATTCTTAAGTGATTAAATGAGATTTTTATCACTTTTTACTTGCATTTTGTGCATTTTGACAGCTTTGACACATTTTAGTATTTCGGCTATAACTTGAGATACAGTGATCGGATTGAGATGATTCTTGAACCAATTTGAAGATAAGAGATAAAGCTACAACCTTGGTGAAGACATCGAAATCCAGTTCTAAGGTTTTCCAGGTCAAAAAGCCGAATTACCGTAGCCAATTTCTATTGGTCGAAACTGAAACAAGGCATTGAGCAGTCAAGGGTATTTCAGTCATTTCTCAGCCTACACAAATCTAAATGAGGTGATTCTTGATGCATTGGAAAGCTAACTCAAATAACTACAAGTTTTGTGTTTTGGTGAAGAGTTAAATCAGCTTCTATCATCAAGAAACGTTCAGTCGAATTTGAGGCAAAATCGGAGCAGCAGTGAAGTTTGAACAGAAATAGCACCAAAAGGTCACTATAGCTATCCGGCCGAAACTTGGCCGGATTGTGCTCAGAAAAGGCTGCTCTCTATGCGAACAACTTGTTTTCAACTCCAAAAAGTCACAGCTAATGCTAGATATGTGAGAAACACTTTGCAGCTGTAAAAGGGAGGTGTAAACCTCATTCTTTGACCACCTTTGTCTTGAAATAGCCAAAAACTTGCAAGATTGGAAGAGAGACATACGGGAGAAGCTTGGAGTCTGCAAAAATGTAGTTCTTCCATTTTCTTAGTCTAGGATAGTTTAGCTAGTTAGTTCATCCATTCTTGTATATTGGCTAGATTAGAATGAAGATGGGGATGAAAAAGGAGGAGCTGAAGCTCAAGTAACATGATTTATCTCTTCTCCAACTCTTTATTTTTTGTATTGGAATCTTAAATATGGTTAATATGCAAGTTCTGGATTTTGTGTTTATTATGTGTCTTTAAAGTTTATGCCTTGGGTTTGGTTGAACTCTCTATAATTGTTAGTGTTCATTATTTGGCTATTTGATTGCTATTATTTGAGCAAGTTATTTAGCACTTTAGCTCTTGAAATCATGATTAATCTAGTACCATTAATTGTGATTATCTAAGGTGTTATTTCTGCAATGAAAATTGAGATTTAACACTAGTTCAAGAAGTACTAAACATATGAAGTACACTCACGAGCGTAGAGGTGCACCTATGTGATTTTAGGTGATTAATTTCATGTAATTTCACTGAAGAAAGGAACTTGTACCTAATTTCATAACCATGAGAATAGGTATGGATTAGTTATGAGTATAATTGATTCAAATAGAATTCATATGTATAAG